AAAAAAAAAAAAAAAGAATTACTTTAAGAAGGGCGGCTGGGGACTTAGCTCAGTGGCCCCATGCGCAGTGGTGCCATGCCCACCCCATAAGCACAAGGTCCTGAGTTTGATCCCCAGTACCAGAAGAAGAAAAAAATTACTATAGACCAATAGGACAGTCTTCCCTTGCATAATGTTCTTCATTCTACAAAGCCATTTTACTAAAATGTCTTATTTATTGTGCTAGAAGCAGGTCATGACTTTGGGACAACTGATTATACATTGTCAGGTATTTTGTAAGCTAGTCATTACACACAGCTATTGTAAAAATTTAAATAATGTAAAACTACTAAATATGTGAAAAAGAAAGCCAGAAATACTCAAAACTGATTACTTCCTAATTATTTCACCACATGTATGTTCCCTACGCTCTTGAGATTAGTTGTCTTTTGTACTCCTGTGGTAGCAATATGTGATACTGTGCACCTTTTCCCAACTCCTCCCCCAAAGAAATCACTTGGGTAGGTTGAAATCTGCCACAGCCAGAAATTGGCAAATACATGGACCAGGGGTTTAGCTCCCTGGGATAGTGCCTACCTCGAAAGCACAGGGTCCTGAGTTCCATCCCTAGTACCAAAACGAATACAGACTAGCCCACACCTGTAGTCCCACCACGGGGAGGCTGAGGCAGGAGGATTGCCATGAGTTTGAGGCCAGCCTGGGCTACACAGTGAGTTCAAGGCCAGCCTGAGCTACATAGGATTTGCCTCAAAAAAAAAAAAAAAAAAATATACTCTACCCCAGGGTTGCTGCTCATTCAGAGACTGAGCTAATAACAGGTGCCAGGAAAGCCCCCCAGCCCGCATGACTTTGGAGGACGCCATGGTGTCCCATAGGTCCCCACTGGGGCATAGTCCCATGCATACTTCAGGCCTCAGCACGAACCCTCCTCAGTGGGGCACAGCAAAGGCAGAGTCTCATCCTCCAGCTACTTACCGCTCCTTGGATAAAGACAAAACTGCTGACACAAACAAACCTGCTCTTACCTCCCGGCTGGCCATTAGCAGCTCCAGGTGGGTAGGTGAAGGCTCTCCCTGCCAAATGCCCTAGCAGTGCCTCCAGCAAGTGGTCCCTGTTGCACTAGGGCTCACAGGTTGTTTTTTTGTGTGGTACTGAGGATTGAACCCAGGGGTCTTACTGTTGAGATACATCACCAGCCTTTTTTTTTTCTTTCCCCCAGCCTATTTATTTATTCGCGGCGGGGGCAGTACCAGGGATCAAACTGGGGACCTTGTGCTTGCAAGGAAGGCAGCAGCACCACTGAGCTAAATCCCCGGCCCTCCAGCCTATTTATTTTTTATTTTGAGTCAGTGTCTGGCTCAAAGTTGTGATCCTCCTGCCTCAGCCTCCTAGAGTTCTAGAATGGCATGTGCCACTACTCCCTGGTAGCCTCACAGTTCTCAGAATGCCCCTAGTGGGTTTTGGGGGGAAAAAATGAAGCAAGGAAAAGTTAAAAGATAGAAGAAACTAAAAAAAAGAAAAAAAAATGTCAATAAACACCTTTGCAGAGAGTGGAATGTCAATGGTGCTAACAGCCAGCAGGGGACTGGGTGCCCTTCGTCCCTTTCCGGGGGCTCCAGGAACACCTGGTTAGAAACCAGAAGCCCCAGCTCTCCTTCCTCCACCTCCTATGTATAGTCTTTTTTTTTTTTTTTTTTTTTTTTTTAAATGGTTTTTTGACACAGGCTCACTATGTAGTTCAGACTGACCTGGAACTCGCTATGTAGCCCAGGTTGGTCTTGAACTCACAGCGATTCTCCTGCCTCAGCCTCCCAAGTGCTGGGATTACAGGCATGCGCCACTATGGCCACGACCTCCGGCTTCCTATGTATAGTCTTAAATTGCTATTTATCTCCTGGGAGGCCTGCAAGCCTGGCTATTGCTGCTACATCTTTAGTCCTGCTTCTCTTCGGATTCACCTCTAGCCACAATTCTGATGTTTGTTTTTTTGTGCGGAGTTCCCTTAATTTCTATCTAATTTAGCTTCCTTGAATAGTAACTGCCTGAGACTCAGAGGCTCCTGAGGTTGAGATAAGAAATTTAACTCACCCTAAACATAGAATGGGTGGAGGTTCACAGAGTCCCATCTGGGAAAAGAACTTTGAGCATGCGTCATTATAGGCATGGGAAGAATGTATTAGGCAGGGATTTTAGAATGGACCTAGGAGTGCAGTGGGGTGCTCGGAGAAATGAGAGACGCTGAATTTGGAACTGGAAACAGATCTGTGATTTTGATGCAGAAACCTCGTATCTATCTGCCCTTGATCTTAGCCAAAAAGCTAGAGAAGCGATTTTTTACTTTTTTGGTACCGGGGATCAAACTCCGGACCTTGCTCTTGTGAGGCAGTCAGTGGAACCACTGAACTAAATCCCCAGCCCGAAATCTGGTATCTGATAGGGCACAGTCTTGGTGAAGGAAGCCAAGCAGACCTCCCCCGACCAGCTTCCTATTCAAAGGGGAAGCCTGATTTACACGTCAAGAGGTGATCTATCACAGGTGAAAGGGCAATGTGCAAGTAAAAAGGGAAGGTCTGCACCATCTGCAGATGAAAGGGAATTGCCCACGGTTATTGTGTTGTGGAAGAGGGAAAAAAATCAACAGGGCTGTCCTGAAGCTGTAGTTTTCATTTTTAAAATTCTTGGCTTAGGGATTTAGCTCAGTGGTCCTAAAGGTCCTGAGTTCGATCCCCGGTACCCCGCCTCCCGCCTTGATTTTCCTTGGCTCCCTTCTGTCTAGTTTTTATTTCTTCTATCCTATCTGAAATCTAGGCTCTGCTACTGAGCTACATCCCCAACCCATTTAATTTTTTGAGGCAGGGCCTCACTAAAATGCCCACGGTGGCCTCAAACTTGGGATCTTCCTGGCACCGCCAGCTGGGGAGATGCTTGGGTAAACTAAAATCTGATCAACCGCCATGAAAGAGAGCAAGCAAGAGTTCCGGGTTTGCTATCAGAGGGTGATGCCCTCGTTCGGGGGAACTCGGGCCCCCTTCCTTGTTACTGCTCGGAGAGCGGGTTGGTAACGGTAATTACTTCTCAGAGCCCGGGAGAGGTTGGGAGGAGGAGGCCGGGCGGGGCGGGGCGGTGCAAGGCAGGCGGAAGCGGGGTTATCCAAAGCTGCTGAGGGCCCGGGGGGTGAGAGGCCGGGAACCTGGCGGACGCCTTCTCTCCCGGGCCGGCCCAGCGGGGTGTCCGCGATACACCCCGAGAAGAGGGAAGGAACCCCAGGCCATCTGGAAAAGGAGGGGGATCTCCCGGGGCCTTGGGAAGTGAGGTCAGTATCCAGAAGCCTGGAAACTCCCCACTCGGAGCCGTCAGGGCTGCGGCTGGCTGCAGTCCTGGGAATGCATTCCTGGCTAAGACGATTTCCAAGTATTTAGAAGACTGGCCATTAAAAACATAAACAGTATTAATAACAGGAGTGTCAGTAGTGTTGACATTTTTCTGGAATCCTTTCCCTAGTCGTTTAACGCGCCGAGAAGGAAAATAATAGTGTTTAGTAGATAGAAATTACAGGATTAGTGCAAGTAACTATCACGATGATGGGCCAGGGCTTGTAAATTGGCTTTGTTTGGGTCTTCCAAATTAGATGCGTGTGTGGTTAATTTCATGACTTTTTCAATCCCCGCTACCTCCTGATTAAGAAAAGAATTAAGAATGGTGACGCAAAAGGAAACAGCAATTCACTCTGCCTTTCCTGGTGTCAGGAACCGCGTGTAGGAGTCCTTTTCTTGAAGGGACACAGTAAACACCGTCCCCCGCCCGACCAGGTGCCTGGGGCCGTGGGGGGGCACGCACGTGCTGGGACGCGCTGAGACCAGAAAGTCACAGATCCAAGCCCAGCCTGGGCTACACATCAGTGTAGTATTTATTTAGTTGTATTTCTTTCTCAACATTTAAGAAAGAGCTGGGAAAGCAATTCAGTGCAAAGGCCGCAGGTTCCATTCCCAGTACCACAAAATAGATGAATAAACCGCAGTAGCTCCAGGGGATTCATGACTGCTTCTGCGTCAGAATGAGATTGCCAGAGAAGAGGAAGGGCCGGGACAGCCGCCTCAGGTGTGAGGGAGCAGGTACGGTCTGCGGCCGTCCATCCGGAGGGGAAAGTGGGGATAACACGTGCACCCGTGTTTCTGACAGCACGACTCAGCTCCGTCTTGGGAGCGGCCTCCACGTCCATCAGTAGGCAAAGTGACAGTGTGGTATTCACACATAATGGAGCACTGCTCTGCCGCAACGATGGGTAACACGGAGGCGTTTGTAGGAGGGTGGGGCACCGTGAAGAAGGGTACCCTCCAGACAGTTCTAGCTAGATGGATGCACCCTGAGACCACGCTCTTACGGGGAGCAAATCGGACACACGGGTCAATCCTGCATCGGCTCTCTGGTATGAGAAACTGAAAGTGTAAATAAAGACCAGAATGCGTAATAATAGGGGAACAAGGGAGGACAGAGGGAGAAAGCAAGGAAGGGACAAGAAAAAGAATAGAAGGAAAGCATGGCCGTGAAGCTTTTAGCAAATGAGGACGGAAAGAGGGGTTGAAGGGAGGGGAGGGGATAACAACAAAAAGAAGCAAGATGTCCCGTGTAGAGGTACACACTCCCCGTGAGGAACGCTGGCCTGTAGATCTCAAATACACCAAAAATAAATACATAAAATATGCCAGTTCTTCTAAAAAAGGAAAGTGGGGGGGCCGGGGATTTAGCTCAGTGGTTCTGCTCCCTGCCTCGCTAGCACAAGGACCGGAGTTCGAGTCTAGGTACAAAAAAACAAAATGGATCCACTTTGAGACCCCGAAGTCAGTGAAGTAAATCAGACACACGAGTCTAAATAACACATGGTTTCTCTTATATGAGAAACCCAATGCATAAACAAAGAGCAAAATAAAAGATGATAGAAAGTTAGGGAGGTAGATCTTTCTCACCTGGGAAAGGGACCAAGGGATGAAGGGGGGAGAGGGGGAGAGGGGGTGAAAACAGTTTAAAGGGGTTCCGCCTCCACCTAAGACACAAGCCTTATGACTGCACGTGTGGGCGAGTGAGCACAAGCGGAGAAGGGGAAAGGAATGGTTACGGGTAGAAGTGATAGATTGTCAGTATGTGCTCGTACGAATATATCAAAATGAAACATTATCCACGTTCATTTTAAAAATGTGATAAATATTTTTATTTGGAGGCAAGTCGCTAAGTTGAAAGGGAAATAAACTTTATTTTCCATTTGATCCCCATTTAATCATTATTACCTGGGTGGCTGTATTTGTAATCTTATTGGTTGATCATGGTCTCCCTCACGCCCACCTTCTGATTTTCCATTGGGTCTCACAGCTTTGTCCCACTTGGTACCTGCCTCACCTGTTGCCATATACAACACCTTTGAAAGACAGGTGGGCGGGCAACCCACTTTCCAGTCCCCTCCTGTCTGTCTTAGATGGAAGCATCTTTCTCTCAATAAATTTTCCCTACTCTTAGCCTCCATTGTCCCTAAAATTCATTCTTTGATCTTAGAGACCACAAATGTGAGTTTTGGATATCTCACAGGTTGGGAGTTATATTCTCTTGTTTGGATTACTGTTGCTCATTTGGATTACTTGGTGCCCTGTACCACTGGCACCGTCTAGAAGTCCCAAACCGAGCCCTGACCTGCAGCGGACTAAAGGAAATTACTGAGCATGTCGTCTGCCTTTCAGTCACCTTTCACCGTAAGTGTGTTTGCCCTGGATGGATGCTTATTTTCTCACTGATGTCAGAAGCAGCGTGAGGAATGGAATTGTTCCGCCTGTAAAGAGACACAGCCCTTGTAGGTACAGGCAGACCAGTGTAGATTCACAGTCAGGATTCAGGGGTATGCATAGTGATTTTGCCAAATCTTCTGCAAGGCATGCATTTCAAGTTAGGATTAGATACATTATGTTTCTGGGCAGGAAAAGCAGAGTCTCCATTTAATGGAAGTGTGAAAACTGCAGCCTAACAGATCAAGAGCTCACTCATAGCTGGTCATCATCTGGAGGTTTTGTGGAACTCCTGAGCTGTGAGTTGGAAACTTTAGAATTTTTAGATATGATCCTGTAAATTATTACACAATACCTCCATGAAAGACCCGGGATAGCACCCTATAATCAAACATAGGTGTGTCCTCAGAGAAATGTATCATTATTTATGCTAAATGGAATGTATAAGGATCATACATAGACTTCTGTTACTGAGGGTAAAGTTTTGCTGCCAAATTAGTTTGGGCATCCAACTTGTGAGGACACTCAAATTTCAGAATTACTGCTAAGGACTGTGGACCTATACAAAACTTCCTCTTGAGTAATTCCGAAAGGCAAGCAATTCCATGAGCTGATCTCGTGAGTACCTGTAATTCCATGAATCAGGAGTCTAGAGCCAGGTGCGCTGGTGCACACCTGTAATCCCAACACTCAGGAAGCTGAGGCAGGAAGATCACCATTAGTTTGAGGCCAGCCTGGGATACATAGTGAGTTCAAGACCAGCTTGAAGTACATAACATGACCCTGTCTCCAAAAAAAAAAAATCATCCCTTCTTGACCTTTCCGCTAAGATCAAGTATTATATAAAAAAAAAAAAAACTGGATCAGGACCAAATTTCTAACATGACCCAAGTAGAACAGAGCACTTTTTACTGCACGCTAGCTATACATCTGAGTACTAATCAGGAACAGCTGATGAAGACTGGCTATGTCTTTAACATCACCTTCAATTTCAAATTTCCTGGCACTTCGATTCTCAGAGGCCTCCCAGAGGTGAGCACAGGGATGTAAAGGATACATCTGGAACCTCCTCAGTCTGAAAATCTGAAATCCAAAATGTTCCAAAATCTGAAACTTTGAGCCCTGGCACGATGCGGCACGTAGAACATTGTGTACCTGCTTCGTGATGGGTCACAGTTAAAATGCAGATGTACTGAAAATGTTGTGTAAAATTATCTTTAGGCTATGCGTATAAGGTGTATATGAAGAATAAATAAATCTGTGTTTAGGCTTGGGTATCTCATTGTGTATAGGTCAATATTCCAACACACACCAAAAATCTATAACACTTTTGGTCTGCAACATTTCAGAGAAGGGATCCTCAGTCTGTCCTTTCCTCCTATTTCTTCACAGCCAGTGAAGGATGTAAATTTAGCCACACCCTCCTACACACAGGGAGCACGTCTGTATCAGGAAGTCCTTACTTGTAAAGGTTTTAGGTGGTGTCACTCCCACTGGAAGATACACAGGTAGCAACTAATATGTCTTCCCCGGATGCTTTTATCTGGATCATGAGGCAGAAACCCTACAAATCATATCCAGTTAGGTTGCTGTGGGCAACGGACAACTGATAGCTCCCAAGTGAGTTTGAAAGGCTCTTGTTACCCAGGATCCTAAGGGGTTTGTTGCCTTGGGAGCCATAGGTGAACTTAATTAACATAGCTCTTCACTGGAGTCTCTCTCCCACTTTCCAGTCAACTTCCTGTGGACATGGCGGCGGCTGAGTGGATCAGGAAGCCGCTTCCTTTGCCTGGAAGTTAACGTGGCAGCTGTGGATGTCCATCCGGAGAGCGAGTCAAGGCTCTGCTCTCCACACGGGCCAGAGGTAGAATGACTTCTAGCTTCTTTCTCCTGGACTCCAGTCAGCAGGTGTGATGCACCGTGACCCAGGCAGCGGGGTTCGAAGGATGGCCGGGGAGCCAGGTGAGTCGCTTCCTGTTTATCTCCTCATCAACAGAGTTTATTAGTGAAAGAACACACAGAAGAACTTTTTTTTTTTTCCCCAAATGTGCTGGGAGTCAAACCTAAGGCTTTGCACATGCTAGGCAAGTGCTTTGCCACTGACCTACATGCCCACCCCAGCACATTCTTGACAGCAGCACTGTGTCACATCAAATCAAGAAATTAGTAGTTTACTTTTGATGTAGCATTCATATAAGAAATTACAGGGCCAGGGATTTAGCTCAGTGGTTCCGCTGACTGCCTCACAAGCGTAAGGACCTGAGTTCAATCTCCGGTACCCAAAAGAAAAAGGAAAAGAAATTACAGCTTGGCAAGAGACAATTCAGTTTTCACTTCAACATATTGTTATTTATTGAATACACACTGAGCATCACGGTGCCAGGTATAAGCTTTGTGTGTGAAGAGTTTGGGGACCAGTGTATGTTGGGGGAGTCAGAGGGACTCTGGAGTGGAACAGGAAGACCAGGCCCAGGGGAGTGCGGTAGAGGCCAAATAGGAAAAGGCCAACAGCGGTCAAACCCCAGGCACAGTGCAGAGGATCCCAGCTTGGCACGGGGCAGGGTCAGCCACCCTGGTGAGGTCAGCAGTGCTTCAGTAAACAAAGTGAGTTTGCACACCTGGCCCTGGAGGTGGCCAGGACTTCAGTGGGTGGATTAAGGGCATAAAGATGGCGCCTTAGTGTATTAGTTACTTTTCTCTCCTTGCTGAGACAAAATACCTGACACCCAAAGTTACAAGGGGAAAGGTTTATTTGGTTTACAGTTTGTAGAGGTTTCAGTTCATAATTGGCTGGCTCCAAGGCAGGGTGTCCTGGGGCAATGGTTTATGGCAGCGGAACACAGCCAAAGCAACAGGGGACCTTTTTCTACCCCTTTTATCTTGTTTAAACTACTTAGGGGCGGTAGTCCTCGTGCCATTAACCCTAGTCACACATTTTAGATTCAGCTGCCTCTGAAAAAGAAGGCCACACCTCACCACAGGAGGCTCGGGCTGCAGGACGTCTAAACACTTAGGTAAACCTTCCTATGAGAAACCCAGGGGGAGCTCTTCTGGGAAGGCCCAGGCTGACTGCAGATGAAGGTCACCAGGAGACTGCACTGAGCTCTTTGGTACCTTCGGTAACAGGCAAGGGGCTTCCCTTTCTTCCACAAGGACAGGAAAAGGTCTCACCTGAGAGAAGTCTGTCAGAGGGATTCACGCTGGAAGTGACCCAGACAGGGTGAAAAGGCTGTGAGCAGACAGCTGGAGGCGGAGGGGCTGTGGAGAGGCTCTGAAAATCTGCCCGAGGAATGTGTATGAGGGAAAGGAGAAGAGATGTTAGTACAGGTAAAGGGGCTACTGTGTTTCTTATTAGTTTGTTTGAAGTACTGGGGATTGGACCTAGGGCCTTTGCACTGAGCTACATCCCCAGCCTTTTTGGTATCTTTACATTTTTTGTTTTGTTTTTGTTTTTTGAGACAGGGTCTTGCTGTGTATTCTGGGCTATCTTGAACTCACTAACTCACTATGTAGCCCAGGCTAGCCTCAAACTCTTGGCAATCCTCCTGCCTCAGCCTCCCGAGTGCTGGGATTACAGGTGTGTGCCACTATACCTGGCTGGGATTTTTAAATTTTAGAACATAGTCTTGCTTAGACCAGCCTGGTCTACATAGTGAGCTCCAGGTCAGTCTCAACTACATAGTGAGACCCTGTCTCAAAAAAACCAAAAAGAAAACAACAACAAAAACAAACAAACAAACAACATAGTGTTGCTTAAGTCACTCACACTGTACTAGGATTTGGGATCCTCCTACCTTAGCCTTCCCGGTGCTGGGATTACAGGCATGTGCCGCCGTGCCTTGGTCTGAAGGGTTTGCACTCAGCCCCTGATTGAACATAGGCCAAGAATGCCAGATTGGCCGCCACTGCTGCTATGGATGGAACAGCGCACAGCAGCTTCAGCATTAGGGCATCTATTGGTTCTTGCAAATCCACATCCAGAAGGAAGACATCAGCTTAATCCAGGGGCTCCAGCCCCTTTCTCCCTGCAGTTCCTTAGGGCAGCAAGAGGGCTACAGCTTCTCCAGGAAAGGAGAGAGATTGTCTTTTCAGTGGTTTGCCTTTTTTTTTTTCTTTTCTGGTACTGGAAATCGAACTCAGGACCTTGCACTTGCCAGGCAAACGCGGTGCCACTGAGCTACATCCCTGGCCCTCCTTTGTTGTTTCGGACTTCTAAAATTATGAAATGTGGAGCTCCGAGAGGCCTCTAAAAATAGTAAGGTGTGAAATGGACACATATGCAAAGTACATACAGCACAGGCTTTCTTTACTTGCATAGCCCAGGCAAGTGCTCTTACCGCTGCGCTGACACCAGGACTCACATAACTGCCACCCAGGTCAAGAAACAGAAACGGCTGGCACCCCAAAAGCCCCCTGTGCATGTGACTTTTTCTTGTGAGACAGTCTCAAGCAGAAGTCCAAGGCCAGCTTCCCCTGGAGTTTCGTGTATTTGAATCACTTCCCAAGCTCAGGGAGGAATAGCTTAGGACCTGAGAAACGTCTCATGCTGAGAAATGAGCCAGCCAGCCAGTTGCCAGTCAGAGGGACAGATCCTGCACGTCCTTGCAGCTGGGAATTGGGTGCTGCGGGAAGACGATGATGAACCCGTGCTGTTAGGAAAGGGCTTGTGGGGAAGGAAGGTTGGGTGCCAGCCCACGAGGTTCACTGCGCAGAGGGAGCCAGGAAGTGACTCCAAGACTGCAGACCTGGCTCGCTGCGCAACAGACCCAAACCAAGTGGGCAGTGCTGTGATGTGCGCGGTCAGCTGGGAGCCCAGAGGTTTTCCATGCAGGAGGGCCATGTTTCACAATCTCTCGGGCAAGCTGTAAAACCTGTGCAGTGCTTTTCCCTGCTCATCTGTGGGATTCAGGTATATTAAAAATAAATATGGGCTGAGGAGATGGCTTAGAGGTAGAGCATTTGCTAGGCATGTGCCAGGTCCTGATTCCAAGTCAGCACCAAGGAGAAAAAAAGAAAAAAGATCCATAACCCTTAATCAGAGATGATGACTGCTACCATTCTGGTGTGTACCTCAGCAGGAGTGCTCTGTTCCCTATCCAACATCCTTTTCTGTTTTCCTTTTTCCCCCCTTCCTTTCTTCCCTCCTTCTTTTCTTTTTTTTTTAAATTTCTTTTATTTATGCATTTTTTTTTTTGGTACTGGGGATCGAACTCAGGACCTTGCACTTGCGAGGCAGGCGCGGCACCACTGAGCTACATCCCCAGCCCATATTTTTAGTTTTTGGTTTTTTTTTTTTTTTTTTTAGACAGGGTCTCACTATTTAGTCGAGACTGACCTGGAACTCACTATGTAGCCCAGGCTGGTCTCAAACTCACAGCGATCCTCCTGCCTCAGCCTCCTGAGTGATGGGATTACAGGGTGCGCCACCATGCCCAGCTATAGTTTTTTTTTTTTTTTTTCAGATAGAGACTGGTTTTATAGTCCAGGCTGGTCTTGAACTCATTATGTAGCTCAGGCTGGCCTTGAATCTGTGGCAATCCTCCTGCCTCAGCTTCCCAAATGCCTGCCTTTCTCTCCTCCTCCTCCCCCCACTCCCTCTCCCTCTCTCTCTCCCTCTCCATCTCCCCCTCCTTTTCCCTCTTCTCTCTTTTTCTTTCTTCCTTTTTCCAGCACTGGAGATTGAATCCAGTGCTTTCACACTGAGCTATATCCCCATCCCCACCTGGGTGACTGATGTCTATCTGGACTGTGGTGGATCAGATGATACCAATTTTAGTATAATCTTCAAAGTATCGCTTATCCCTCAGAGAGGCACGTAGGCCTGGTCGTTGCGTCTTTGTCTTGAGGCCTGGCCTTCCACATATGTGACTCCAGCTGCAGCTGTAATGTGTTCTCAGCCTCTGTATGGACTCCCTCGAAGGCCTAGCCCTGTCTGACTGCCAGTAATATTTCTACCTAACTTGCTGTCTATAATATCACTAAATCATTCTGTTGCTCAATCTCGGAACACTCCTGCTTTAGCCTCCCAGGGTGCTGGGATTACAAGCGTGTGCCACCATACTGGCTCCTTTTTTTGTTTGTTTGTTTTTTCCTTAACATTATCACAACTTTACTTGGAAGATGATAAACTCATGTTAAAAAAAAAACAACAAACAACACATAGGCTAGGAGTGTACAGTGGTAGAGTACTTGCCTAGTATGTGGAGGCAAAAACTATAAATACGAGCATGCTTTCCCAGAATGTTTTAGAATTAGACATAGCCATAGAACCCAAATTCGAATAAGAAAAGGTAAGCCGATAAGCTTGCAGGTAAATTCAGCTGGCTAGGATTTTTTTTGTTGTTGTTGTTACTGGGGATCAAACTTGGGACCTTGCATTTGCAAGGCAGGCAGCAGAATCACTGAGCCAAATCTCCTGCCCTGGTTAGGATTTTGCCTACACAACACTCTACATGCCTGAAGGTAGAGAAATTGTCTTGGACCCGTAAGAGTTAAGAGCACAGGCAAAGATGGCAGAAAGTCTGGAAAAGCCACATCACTTATTTTATTTGAGTCACTGAACCCAAACTGGACTGTCTACCTCCAGATGTTTTATAATGTGGACAAAATGAAAGCCTGTCTTGTTTGGCAAGCGTGGTTGAGATTCTTTTCTTTTCTTTTGGTACTGGGATTGAACTTGGGACGTTGTGCTTGTGAGACAGGTAGCACCACTGAGCTAAACCCTAGCCCCTTTTTTTGAGACAGAATCTCACTATGTAGTTCAAGCTCAAACTCACTGTGACCCTCCTGCCTCAGCCTCCCAAGTGCTGGGATTCCAAGGGTGCAACACCACGCCTGGCTGAGGTTCAGAATCTGATGTCTGTAGCTGATTATATTCCAGATACAATACTCTCCTGGAGCTTATCCTATAGATATGTAATACTATCCTCAACCTAAAAAGGGAAAGAGAGTTGGTTTTTGTACCACAGAAGGATCATCAGGAATTCAAGATCAGCCTGGGTTACATAGCAAGTTCAAGGCCAGCCTAAACTTCATAGCGACTTTTTAAAAAGTCACATGACTAGAAAGTGACAACATTCAGACTTGTGCCCAGGTCTGTAGGACTCCAAGGCCCAGGCTGTGTACCACATGCCTTTATCTGGAGTTCTTAGATGGGCAGAAAAGTGGACTTCTCTATATTTCTTTAAAATTACACATTGTGCAGGGTTTGATGGCACACGCCTGTATTCCTAGCGCTCAGGAGACTGAGGCAGAAAGGATTATCACAAGTTCAAGGCTGCATAATTCAAGACCAGTCTAAATTACAGGGAGTGATCCTGTCTGAAAACACAACAAAACAAAAACAAAAATTACTCATTGGCGTGGGGTATGACTCACTGGTAGAGTGCTTACCTAGCATGTACAGGGTACTGGGTTTGATACCCACCACCAGCAAAAAAATAAAAGTACAATGGACCCTCAGGTTACATCTGGCCTGACACATGAACAACTTGGGTTATGACTGCAATTTTAGTTTTAACTTATGAACAAAGTAATGAGTTACAATCAAATGCTGGCCACTTGTGCTTCCAGATGGTCTTGCAGAATTTTAAGAGACAGGAGAGACCAAGTGGGAGTCAGGAGGATTTATTTAAGGTATATACACTGGCTCAGTGGACTCTGTGTCCAAAAGGGCTGAGCATTAAACATAGAAAAGTTCTAGTTTTATACATTTTGTCAAAGAGGGTGATTTTTCTAGTGATGGAGCAAGTAAGTTTACCACAACAGGACAACAGCAGACAGTTGTAACTTTGCCTTGAAAGAAGACAAGTGTCTTATAAATCATATGAAAACAGAATCATAAACTTTATGCTGTTAACTCTACCTTTATCAGAACAAGGAGGGGGTTGGGTGTACTGCCCAAGGCAGGAAAGAACTTTTTTTCTTTAAGTGTCAGAAACAGATTTAACCCTTAAAGAATTATGGAGGTTACCTCGCAAAAAAAAAAAAAAACCAAAAGCCAGGGATTTAGCTCATTGGTGCCCTGCCTGCCTTGTAGCATAAGCAAAAGGTCCCAAGTTCAATCCCCAGTACCAAAAAAATAAATAAAATAAAAATAAAAATAAGAATTCTGGAAGGAACATTACAACATCCTTTCCCATGTGGGGTAATTGAGAAATCCTGGTCCAGTGTCTAAGGACACTGAGCTCTGCCTGTGTACAGAAGAGAGGCTTTGAAGGCTGTGTAGAAGAGCCTGAGCCTTCATTTGACCAACTTGAGTTACAACCACCCCTTGCCAACAAAATGAGTTTGTAAGTCAAAGGTCCCCTGTACACATAATTCTAAGACCTTGAGCCAACAGCATAGAATGCCCCCCTCCTTTTTGGTACCGGTGATTGAACTCAGGCCCTTGTGCTTTTTGAGGCAGGTGCCAGAACCACTGAGCTAAATCCCCAGCCCAGCCTGCCCTTAGTAAAGGAAAATAAATTATCTCTAATGCTACTACTTTCCACGGTGCTCTCCTTTCTGTACAAATGGTTGGTTTCAGCTCCTGTCGATGTGAATACAGGGTTACAGCCATTCTATATATATATCAATTATTGTTCTGGTTTCCAAAATGTAGCAATACTATTTCTTGAAGTTTCTGTATGTTTCATGTCATGTTAAAAAAATCATCAGTTTCGAGCTGTAAAATGCTGAAAAGGAAAAATGATCATCAGTGCTCTCACTGCCCTGAATAACCCAAGATTTATTTCATTCCTGTTTTCGGCCTACCCATTTCATTTCTGCACAGTGGCAATCTCAGTGTGTGAATTTTGTATGATCTCATTTCTACATGATATCGCATTGTGTTAGCCAAAAGCTCCATGGGCGAAACTTTCCCCATCTTGTTCATCATTGTGCTTAGTATGGTATAATAAAGTGGGTTTAATAATTGTTGACTAAATAAATGTTGCTGCATGTTCTTCCTAATTAACACATATACATCCTGTGATGTGCTTTTTAGGTATTTATTAGATATTTTCTTAGAATGTGCTGTTCAGCTAGGGATTTAGCTCAGTGGCACTGTGCCTGCCTTGCAAATGCAAGGTCCTAAAAAAAAAAAAAAAAAAAAAAAAAAAAAAAAAAAAAAAGAATGTACTGTTTAGTGGATGCACATTAACTTTCCCATAATTATTAGATATCTCTGTTGTTTCCAACACCTTGCTTGTATGAATAATGTACCAATGAAAAGTTTTGTGTGTATAGCTTTCTCTACCTGTAGGCTGTTGTCTAAGATAGGAACCCTATGGTTAAATTATGAGGGCAAATGGCTGAGGAAGTTCTTAATAAAGTCTCTATGTTTGTTATGATTTCGCGGGGGGTGCTAAGGCTCAAACCCAGGCTCTCATGCATGCAAAGTTCATGAACTACCGCGGAATTACATTCCCACCCTTAAAGACACTTTCTGAGATGGTGAGAGCAGTTCATACAGAATATGGACGTGCCAGTTTCCCCACACCCTCACTTGCCCTATTTTTCTTTTTTTCAATTATTCCTATTGATTTAAACAGGAGAATTTTGCAATCAGTTAACATGCTATGTAACCTCAGTTTCCTGTCAAAGGCCTATGGTGCCAAATGAGTACTCATTAATGTTTGAGTCCCAGGGCTGGGAATTTAGCTCAGTGGTTCTGCCGCCTGTCTTGCAAGCATAAGGACTGGAGTTCAACCCCCAGTATAAAACAAAAAAAATGAGTCCCTTATTTTGGTCATGGCCCTAACACCCCTGCTGTCGCTCAATGATTAATAAGTGCAGGTGTGATTCAGTTGTGTCTCAGCCTCCAATTTTTATCACTAGCCTATAAATGACAATGCTAGATGTAATTATTATAGAATTATTATATTATTGTTCATAAATTTTTTTTCTTCTTTCAGTGCTGGGATTAAACCGAGAGCCTTAGCATTGAACTTCATCCTCTCATCTCTTTTATTTTGAATTAGGGTCTCCTTAAATTGCCCAGGGTAGGCTTGAAATTGAGATCCTCCTACCTCAGCCTCCCTGAGTTGCTGGAATTACAAACGTGCACCATTGTGCCAAATTTGTTCATAGCTTTTGAAGCTCAAAATGAGTAAGCTAGGGCCGGGGATTTAGCTCAGCGGTTTGGTGGCCTGCCTTGCAAGTGCAAGGACCCGAGTTCAATCCCCAGTACCAATAAAAAAAAAGAGCAAGCTGATTTTTATGTTAGATACTATCAGGAGCAATACCCTTGTCTTCTAAAAATGCATCTAATGAATATATTTGTACATGTTTATATCTAAACCAGTCTTTATTGCCGGAAGTGCACAAGCCATCCAAATTCCACAGAAGCTACAACTTTCTATCTGATTTTAAAACTAATTGTTGCCAGAGGCTTAACTACGACTGCCGTGACCTCTGGAGTGTCAACAAATGATCGACATGAAGTATTTAATGAGCTGCCTGCCAAAGTCCAAAAAACCAGTACCTGAATCCCAGAAACACGAATGAGCTGATATTTTAGAAAAGCTTGTCAAAGCCTTGGCTATAGAAACCCTGGCTCTGCATCACCAGGTGGAGTTTATGTTTTTAAAGAGGACACACTGTGGACAAACATAATGGTAACACTCACCATAGGGAACTTACGCCTCTACACGGCGCGCTTTGCCTCGTTCTTCCTACACCACCTCCCCTAAACCTCCCATCCCTATGTACAAAAGCTTTGTTTTCAATTTTTCCTTCTCTTCTCACCTGTTTTCTTGTCCCTTCTTTCCTTCGTCCCTCCTTCCCTTGCTCTCCTTCCCATTTCCCAATATTTATTATGTTCATTTTAGTCCTCACTTCCACTTTTGGTTTCTCACGCCAGAGAAACAGTGTGGTATTTAAACCACCACACGGAGTTTAAATGGAACAATTTACATAGCGTAGAGATCCGCCGTGTACAGGAACCGAATAACCCCAAATGGATGGAAACTAGATGCCAAGACATGAGCTAAGAGTAATAAGATCACCAGGAATGGAAATCGGGACAAGGGAATCAGAGGAGGGAGGGAGGGAGACGGAAGGCAGGAGAAAGAGATTTCAAAAGCCACAGTATATGCACGTACGCACTCCCCAAGATGACTGGACTGCCACCCTGCAGACGTGTGCTGATACAGTTTTAAAAGTTACAAACAATCAATGAACGGAATGACTTCAACACCCTAACAAGGGCCGGGGATTTAGTTCAGTGGTTCACAAATGCAAGGACCCGAGTTCAATCTCCGGTACCAAACAACAACAACAACAACAACAACAACCAAACAAACAATGAAATAAACATCTTAACAAAGCAGGGCGGATAGGACAGATGTGAAAGGACCAGAGTTACCCGTCACCCGGCGAAGGGCCCATCTTTGCCTGGTCTTCTGTGTGAAGGAGCAGGAGGGCGGTTTGCCTGTCCTGTTACCCACTATTCGGAGAGGAGGTAGGGCTGCTGCTGGCTGGGGCTCAGGGAGGCCGTCTGGAGCACCCTCACCTCCGGCCTGACAGGAATAGCTGCAGAGGCAGCCAGGGGAGGAGCAGGAGGCGCTCAGCCATCCTGTAACCCTACCGCCTGGGCTGGCCTGACTCCGAGGTGCACAGCTGATCCCAGGCAGCCTTCCCTGAGCGCCAGGACGCCATGGCTACAGTCTCTCCTGGGCCCCGTGGAGGCCTCCATCTCAGTGGGGTGACTGTTTTACTTTGCCTTTTTTCTTTTTTTCCATGCTTGGAGCTAAGCTATGGCCTCCTGTTGGCTGAGCAAGTATTCTACCCCTCAGCTACACCCCAGCCCTATTTTGGCTTTTAATTAAATTCAAATCAGTGCCAGCGAAGTGCAGGTCTGTATTCACTACCCCCATCACAATCTCTCTGACTTTTCTAGTTAACTGTTGCCAAGTTGCCAAGCATCCTTCAGCTCCTCCTGTCCTACCCTATGCTATCCTGACTGGATCTCTGTAAATTGCCCAGACTGGATTTGTAATACTCCAGCCTTAGCCTCTCAGATTACCGGGATTACAGGTGTGTTCTACCACACCCTGCTAGCCGCGCTTCTATTAATTTGAGCCCATATGTGTATATAGTTATTGTATGAACAAGTTCGTACCACATGTATTTTTCTAGAATTTGCCTTTTAAAAAAACAGCAACACAGGGCCAGGGATTTAGCTCAGTGGATTTAGCACCGCTTGCCTTGCAAGTGCAAGGACCCGAGTTCGATCCCTGGTACCAAAAAAATAAAAAATTAAATGAAATTAAATTTCAAAATAGCAATATGATCAGACCTCTGGAGGGAGCAGGATGGGCAGGGTGTGCGAGGGTGGGCAGAGGCCGGACACTGAGGTACATGGAGAGGAGCTGGGCCTTGTTGCTGTTACCCAAGGACAGAAATATGGTGAAGATGGCCACCAAGTCCTGTCCTGAGCGCGAGCAAGAGTTAGGAGAGAGAAGATAAATTCTACAGTAAATAAAGATTTAGAAAAGAGGAAGAGGTCTCAAAGTAACAGCCATTCAGATGATATTGGAAGAGGAAGAGGAGGACTGAAAGTGTATCTGCCAAAAAACACGAGGAAGAGAGAAACGGGAAAAGGAAATTGATATCTGTGCTAACCTCTCTGATGAAAAGGCTGTTGTGTTTTCAGTGGCTTTGGCAGAAATAAGTAGAAACATCAATCAAAGACTTAATCCCTGGCCGGGGATTTAGCTCAGTGGTTCCACCGCCCTGCCTCACAAGTGCAAGGGCCCGAGTTCCACCGCTGGTGCCAAAAAAACAACAACAAAAAAACTTAATCTCTGATCCTTGTCTGAAGAATCTGAGGAAACTTCTTCAGGATTATATCAGCAAACCCCCAAAGTCATGGACTCTCGGAGCATTCTGGCTGCATCCATAAGGGGCTCTGATTGTTTTTATTTAATTGTCATTTGGTCTGTGCCACACTTGGGGAGCAAAACTGTATGCTCAGTCTGTTCTGGGATTTCCTTGTTTACCAAGGTATATCGTCAGTGTTTGTGCTGGGATATAAGTAAGGGTGTTTACAAAACCAAACAAAACGAAATATTGGATGAATGGATGTGAAGGATGAAAAGGGGTAGCAGTTGGGGTAGAAGTATGAAAACCGGGACAATGAAATGCCTGAGAGTTTTCAGGTTTGCCTCCAGAGATGCGGTATTTTAAATACTATCCGAAAGAGTGACATTTAAATCTACACGTATATGTCAGATTTTCAGGGCTCACAGGTTGCATATATACAGTTCCTTTATGTTTAATCAATTGACAATTGATATTTATTGAATGGGAAATTAAGAATATAAGCTGTAAATTTTGTCAATGGATTTTTTTCCTTGGCCATTTTTATGACTTGAGGTGTGAGTTATATGTTAAGAGATACTTTCTAAACAGTTTGGAAGTTTGGTTGCTCTAAGAAGCAAAACATTAAGAACATACCATATTTCAGATGTAGACACCTTGCTTTACTGAATGTAATTTATTTATTGGTTACAAGAACTTGTCTCCTCTCAACATGGTGCCTGTTAATCTAAACATAGAATATATTTATTAATTGCAACATATTTCTTAGCCACTTTTTTTTATTTTTTGTTTTTTGAGGCAGGGTCTCACTTTTTGGTTCAGGCTGGCCCTGAACTCATTTTGTGGCTGAGGTTGGCCTCAAACTCACGGAGATCCTCCTGCCTCCGCCTCCTGAGTGCTGGGATCATAGGCATGCACCACCATGCCCGGCTAGCCACTTTTAAACTATTATGCTTTATCTGAGTAGATGTTCATTTATATGTCCTATTATTTAAATTGTTACTTAACCTCACTCTGAAAGAAAAAAAAAAAGCTTGATATTGAAACTAGGCAGATTAAAAAAAAAAATTAGCCATGGTCTCAGAGAATTTTGCATACTGGACTATACAGACTAAGGCTGCAAGCCCAAATCAGACAAAGCCAAGAAAGACATCCAAAATTCAACTCAACCCTGTTCCAAAATTTGTGCAGAGACTAAACAGTAAACACCGATATTCTCTCCAGCCTAAGAGTTTTCACTCTCGCTAGCTGTCACCGTAGTATCTGCTAGAGATTTGTGGTTCTAAGGTAAGAAGTACATGCAGAGAACCAGAATTCATCCACATTCCCAAGATCTCAGAATGAGGGAGCCTGGGCACAGTGGCACACACCTATAATAATACCAGCTACACAGGATGCTGAGGTGGGAGGATTAAAAGTTCGAAGCCATCCTGGGCAACTTGGTGAGATACACTGAGCAAAAAGACTTTTTGCCCCCGAGTAAAAAGACTAGGGCTGTGTGGTAGAGCTCTTGCCTAGCACACCTGAGACTGTGGATTCAATTTCAACCCACAGTAGAGTGCAAAGAAATAAATACCTAAATATGAAAGGGCTGGGGATGTAGTCGGTGCTCCCTGAGTTCAATCCACGGTCCCATCCCAGAAAAAGAAGACAAGAAAATTACCCTGAAAGGCACCAAAATACATTTAACACATCCTACTGAAGTAATTTTGTATTTTGTATAAACCGAGTTTTTTGTTTTATGAAAATGAAGAATAAAATGACAAACAAAAGGAGGGAATTATCGGAAATAGGAGGGAAGAAGAAAGCTTCTGTTTTCAAGTGGAGCTGAATCCTCTTTGTTTTGGCCTCACAGAGATAAGCAGAGAGTTGGGGACTGTTTTAAACAGGTGCTTTTGTGGGCTTAGGGTCTAAAGAAAGTTAGTTATTTAGCTGGTTCACTGGAAGCTTTTCCAAGGAAACTGGTCATTCTGCATTTTTAAGTTTTTCTAAAGCCCCACCCCAGGTTAGGGAGGAGCCTTCAAGTAACTGAGAACTTTCTTCCTGGGAGAAAAGGTCCTGATTTCCCTCTTATTGTGGATTCTTTTACATTTTAAAGCTTAATTAGCTTCAAGAGGGGGGTCTAGAACTTACTCCACGTGTGTGCTTGCTGTTAGTGGACACATTGCTGGGCTGTTACACTTTGTTCCTTTTTGGGGGGGGACCAGGGATCAAACTCCAGTCCTTGCACTTGTGAGGCAGGCAGCAGAACCACTGAGCTAAATCCCCGGCCCTCTCTGTTACACTTTGTTTTTACTTTTTTGAAGAAGAAGAAGAAGAAGGTTTTTTGTTTTTTGTTTTTTGGTTTTTTGAGTTTATTGGTACAATCTAGGTATACAGTACAGTTACATTCATTACTGGGATCCTGTACCTTTACATGACAGGTCTTGGTTCTCATTGTTTCCCCTCGTCCCTGCCCTCCCTTCACCCTTCACCCCCCCCCCCAACACTTTATTTCCATTTTTTCATTTTCTCATATTCTTTTCTTTTCCCTTGTTCCCTTTCCCCTACCCTTCCCACTTTCCCTACACCTTTAGCGCTTTTCTTCCTATTTCACACTATAAATTATCCCATTAGGATCTTGTGTACTATTATAGTTTTTCACACCAGAGAAACTATTCGGTATTTACACGTGTGACTTATTTATTCCACTTAAGACTAAATCCTCAATATGTATCCATTTTCCTATGAATGACTCTAATTCCTCATTCTTTATGGCTGAGTAGTATTCCACTTTATAGAAAAAGCACATCTTCTTTATCCAGTCTCCAACAGATGGGCAAATGGGCTGTTTCCAAGTTTCAGCTGTTACAAACTGTGCCACTATAAACATTGGTGCACATATATCACTGTGATATGATTCTTTTAATTCTTTTGGAAAGATACCCAGCAGAGGGATGGCTGGGTCAAATGGAACCTCTAGTCCCAGCTCTTTGAGGTATCTCCATATTGATTTCCATAGTGGTTGCACCAGTCTGCACTCCCACCAATAATGGAGAAGGGTTCCTTTCTCCCCACAATCCTGTCAACATTTGTTATTGTGTGATTTCTTGATAGCATCCATTCTTTGTGGGGTGAGGTGGAATCTCAGTGTTGTTTTCATCTGTATCTCTCGAATGACCAGTGATGTGGAACATTTTTTCATATATTTACTTGCTGCTTTTACTTCTTTGTCTGAGAAATGTCTGTCATTTCAGTTGCCCATTTTTGAATCAGGTCTTTATATTTGGGGGGGGCTGATCGTTTTGAATTCTTTATATATTCTACATAAGAGCCCTTAGTCTGAGGAGCAGCTGGTAAAAACTTTTTCCCACATTGTAGGTTGTCTCTTCGTTCTGTTGAGGGTTTCTTTTGCAGTGCAGAAGCTTTTTAATAAGATGAGATCCCAGTTGTTGATTCTTTCTGCTAGTTCCTGTGCTACTGAGGATTTGTTCATAAAGTCTTTTCCTATGCCAATGTTTTCAAGAGTTCTGCCTAATTTATCTTCCAGAAAGTTCAGTGTTTCTGTTTTAATATTTAGATCTTTAATCCATTTTTATTTAATTTAGTGCATGGTGAAAGATAAGGGTCTAGTTTTAATCTTGGGCAGGTTGAGATCCGGTTTCTCCAACACCATTTGTTAAAGAGGCTATTTTCCTCCAGTGGGGATGGTCACCTCCTTTGTCAAAGA